TATATTTTTAGTATATAGGTATACATAGGTATTGTATATATATATGTACAAGTATATCTTTGTTTTCATATTATATGTAACTTGCATATTTCTAAAAAGACTATTATAAAATGGAATTGACCTGTTGCCACTAAATAAAGCTTTATGTTTCCTTTTTGCAACAAATCGGTTTTTATAATTAAAAAATATGTATGTAGTGGATATACATACATATGCACGTGCACATTTTTTCAAAAATACATACATATGTATGGTATATGCTGTGTTTCTGCGTGTTTGCTTAGAGTTTGTAGAATTAAACACATTTCCAAGCTATTCTCAACTTGTTAAATATCTACATATATACATACAAACAATTGTATTTAGTTCAGAGACCATTTTCAAGGTAAGCTTACGAGCAATTTAATCAAATAAACGACTCAAAATAAACCACATCGTTGAAAGTAATTGTTTGAAAGTGTTGAAAAACATAGTATTTGTTTTAAAGGTGTAAATAAATATTTATGTATAGCAATACGTATGAACACCGCACAGCACCATAGTTCGATACATGCACCGACCAACATATAACATTTGAATAGCCCGCTAGCACCGTCGGCAAGAAAAGGCAAAATTCCGAGCAATTAAAGAGGTTTTTATAAGATCTGATAGCCGTTCGAAGTTTACACCAAATGTGAGGTCCATTCAGTGATTAGATAATATGAGTAAGGCAGACTTATTAATGTAATATAATATAATAAATAATAGCTACAAAAACGACGAATTCTTCGAAAATTTGTTAATGGCATAGCCGTAACAAAATAATAATATTAAAGTCAAATATTGCTCACAAAATCGAAAAAAAAATTACATGAAGTACAGAGTTCTCACAGCAACTATAATAATTTATTTATAATCAGGCAGATAAAGTAGCTATATATGATATCAAGATCAAAAGATATATCGCTTAAGTGTTGCTGTTTTTGGTGAGATGGTTAGTGCTTTCAGCTTCTGCTTTAATATATTGTAATAACAAAAGATATGGATACAGAATTAGTGGAACGATGCTTCGTGTTCAACTCATTAGAAGCTTTTCAAGCGTTGGTACTCTAAGCGCTTAATCAACTTTTGATAATGATAGCTAAAGGAAAATGCCAAGCTAATTTGGTATGAAGCTGCGCTCTCAAAGAGTTACACATTTGTAAATATGTCTATTTAATTATTCAATTTTCTTCAAGCAAATACAGACGAGTCAATTTCTTAGATGCTGGGCTATATTTTATGCAGAAGCAAGGAAAATTTTACCATATAGGCGTGATAGCAGTCTTGAGCGACATTCTAACCGATTCATAATAAAAAAAAATTGCGCTGTCTGAGATATTTCTCATTAAATTATGTTAAACAGTTATGAGACTATTATATATACTATATATTTTATATATTTGTATTCTCTTGTGCACGTATGCAATCTAAAGGAGGACTTTCGAAAAAAGGTGTTTGACGGCGAGTAAGATTTTTCTGCTTAAAATTATCTGAAATCCATTAATTTAAAAAGAAATTATCATCATTATAGACGAATTCAGGAAATCATCGAGATTTTTGACAAAATGGCTACTTTCGCAAAAACAAATTGTGAAAAAATTTGCACTTCGGAGGGACTTAAGCAAACGAAATTACTGTCAAAATCTTATTCCTACGATCATTACCTGATAATAATATCTAAGAAGGTCGTGGATAATTTCAAGCAGATCGATCCTGTGTCTTCAGAAAAAATCCTCTCACCGACTTTGAGAGGAAAACGTGTTTAAGTTTTGGGAGCCGCTTATATTAAGTTAGAAAGAATATTCTCAAATATACGCACATTCGATAAAAAAAAATAGATTTTCAAATCGATATTCAGAAGTGTATATAAACCTTTAAGGATTGGGTGTCAATAAACAAAAAATGTATATAGCAACCATTGGCATTATGAAAAAAAGTTCTTTTATAATATTCATTATGAATGTGTGTCGCTCAAGTACTTTGAACCCAAAAAGTAATTAGAAATTATAAGCATATAGTACATATGTCATAGCAAAATAATAATATTGAAATAATACACGTATAACACGATTCAGGTAGCGGTACACACCCACGACAAATATTGACTGAAGTATGTACATTTTTTTATTTTAACTGTATTTTTTTATAATTGCTATTATGTAATTTTTTGACATTAGCCAATGCTACAAAGTCTCAATGGCATATCTATATATATAACGTATGTCTGTTTGTTAAATGTCAATTGTCTTCCTACACATCACTCTATCTTCATACTCCAGTGTTTACCCCGATAAGTAGTGAAGCGTAACTGCTCGCCTATTTTTAACGCTGGTCTGCTGTGATCATAAGTATGTATACCTATATGTATATGCATACCTAAATACACATATATATTTGTATATACTTGTATATGTATATGTGTACTCATATTAACTTTTGCTTGCAGCACTCTGCCATGATTATGCATCATAAAACTGTCCAACTGTCCGTCGGTTCATCTTAAAAGTGACTGTCTTTATATATGCATGCATGCATATGTGTGTGTGTTAACAATGTGAAATTTCACCAGCGTTGAGCGTTGCCTCAGCTGCCGTTCGAGCTGTTGATAACTATTTTAGTCTCGTTTTAGCCGACAGCTCATCCGTCAATTCGTCAGCAACTGCAGCAATAATGAACAACAAATGTATTTTTAAATACTATCACTTCGTATATACACATATATGTGTGTATATTTTGCATATGATATAGATGAGTAAATATTTATGTCTAACTATGATGACTTTATTTACCTATAGTCCATTAGCAGTTCAAGTGTTCACATTCAAAGATGGTTACGCATGCGAAAATACAATTATGTTTGGAATTTTACACATTTACCGTTATTTCTTTGCTGTCATTAGCACAATTTGCTGCAAATACTCAAAGCCCAAAAGGCAAATAAAAGCGTAAATGAGAGATGACTTGCAACAAGTAAGTCACTTAATACAAGTCAGCAGACAGCGGAACTGCAGCAGGTCGTTAACTGCGCCGGCGTCTGCATGCATTTATGAGCTTATCTAAATATGTATAATTTTGTTGAAAAAAAAACACATTTTTTTGTTTGCAAACTTTTGCATTACACTGTATTTGTTCGCGCCTTTCCCTTTTATAACTGCAACAGGGTACTGAATGTCGTGTCATTTTAGGCTAGTCATAAAAGTTTACCTATAAGTACCGGCTTAAGTACCCATTAGTTATTACGAAGTACATTTTTTTTCGCAAATACACTGTGTAAAAAAAGGTAAAATTAGAAAATCATTACGTGTTGCAAATAAATAGTATTTTTCATTTTTTTAATTTTTATTTGACACATAATTATTTTTTTAGGGTATAGTTTTAGGCGTTTATTAATTTTAAGGTGAGTAGCGGTAAAATTATATGTGAAAGTGTTGCCATATTTTAAGTTACAACCTAACATTTTTTATTTTAATAGAATTCAACGCTAAAGTGAAGTGATTAGTTTATTATATATTTATATCAACTCTGTTATATGTCGAAAAACTTCCAACCCATCATAATAAATAACTGTAAAATCACAAAAATATATACATATATGTATGTAATAATGGAGATGCGCTTAGAAGTGTGTTATTTTTAGTAGAGCAAGCTCTGATACCAAACTCGAACAAAATACTTCTAGTGTTCGAACCTCTACTGCAACAGAGCACAAGACATAGAATTGCTTTGGTATTGGTTGGAAAATAATTTCGAAACAGAAACCTTACGACAGAATTATAAATATTTTCGGAGAAACAGTTTGCTTCTAAAGAGAAGTCATTTTCGCCACCTTCAACTTTTCAGCTAGTCTTAAGACGTTACTTAACCCACCAACATATACAGATTTCAAACAGAAAAAGTATTAAATAAGTATAATAAAGCAGTACATATGCCCTGGGTCGAGTTCCCCTTATAAAACTGTAATTCTCTCAAATACTGAAATTACCATTCCCACAACAGTTGCGTACAAGTAACTGGACCTTGGTTTATATCTGGCGAAGATCTGTCTTCGCGGAATCGTTGCTCAAAATTATTAACGGAATGTTTTCTGCTTGTAAAATAAAAACAACAATAATAGAATATTGACCAAGTCATTTTACAAAGGTTGCATAGATTTGAGGTAAAAAAAAAAAAAATTTGACGAGACACAATCTCCTTAAGACTAACTACTGCCATCAATCAGACAGCGGACGGAAAAGCCGACCCGCGCTAAACTGGAAAAGAAATTTGGACAACGAAATATCTAAGGTCCAAAAAAGTTGACGTCAAATATCGCCGGTAAAAAATTTTGCTCGAATGATGCGATTATCACTGAACTGAGGCCTATTTTAAGGCAAAAGACAAATCGTTCCATTAAAGGGGTATTGTAATGTTAGAGCGGCGCTGGAATGACTGTGTTACTCTTGATGGAGATTATATTGATGAATAAAGCCAATTTCGAACACAAAAAAAAAACAGTGTTTTCTTTGTTAGGAACGGTCATTTTCAGCCCATGTGTTATATAGGTCATCGATTCATATGCAAAATATCACTATTTGATCTACGCCTGAATGGTGTCGGTCTATAAAAGAAATTGGTATATATAACCGAACGAGATGCTTTATTTATAGTCTGTAGTCGGAGAAGTTTGAAAACATTCATAAGATCACTGTTTATCAAGAGATTTAATAACCCACATTCTGACATATATTGATCAGAAACTCAAAAAATGGAAAGATTGCGTCTCCATATGTACTTGTATATATATATATATATATATATATATATGTGTGTCAAATGCAATATCGTTGACTTTTTGGGAATCTTTAGTATATATCTCTTGTAGTTGTCATATTGAATGAAAAATAACTCCTGAATAATTTTAGGGGTGCTGTCTTAGCATAGACTCAACTGACGTGGAAAAGAGTACATATTTCTTCTCCCCTTTCTCCGTTTTGGATTATGGAATAAATACTCGTACATGCCGAGTAAAAAATTTAAAACTTTGTATATAAGTAACTTAAAATTCCATTGTATGTATTGTCCAAACTTTATTTAAAATTATTTTAAAATAATATTTACATATTGGCTATTATAATAGAATGAATTTCCTAAAAAAAAAATAAATCTATGATATACTAGTAATAGCGAAATAGTAAGTTATACTGCCTTAAAATCGTATGAGACCCTGGTTTATCTTTTCGAAAGCTTCACTATTGAGTAACTCATAGCTGCCGGAAGTTGTTCTATAGAACAGCGTGTCGCTGATGACATTCGGATTGTAGCCCTCTCTTTGCAGATCAACTTTGCGCAATTTATAGGTGCCAGTGATATCAAGTTTAGTCAGAATTCTTATAAATTGAGGTCGTGCGTAAGGCGGCAAGACTTTCGACAATTCGTATGCAAATCGATCAAGATGCAATTGACGCTCTGGATCATATATAGCAGCCATACCGGCACGACCTTCAGTATTTGGTATTGCAACACCGTAGACAATAGTATCCTTATATAGCGCAATATTACTGACCTGAGCCTCCACCTCACTGGTCGATACATTCTCACCCTTCCAGCGAAATGTATCACCAGTACGATCCACAAAGTGCAAGTAACCCCGCTCGTCCGAAGTCAACAGATCGCCCGATATAAATGCCATGTCACCTTTTTTAAATACATCACGTGCGATTTTCTTCGACGATGCACTCTCATCAGCATAACCGAGAAATTCACGCGAGGGATTGCCTTGGATAATCTTGCCAATGAACACACCCGCTTCACCGGGTGCACAAGGCTGACACAAGCCATCGACACCACGTATCGGTACGCCAGTGTCTGTATCGGCCTTAATTATGGATATGGGATAAATTTGCGGAAATATACGTGAGATGAAACCAATAGCGCCGACAGTGTTGTCATTATTGATAATATTCGCATTGCCCTCGGTGGCGCCATAAAATTCTCCCACTTTTGGTATATTAAAACGTTTCACGAAGCTCTGCCAGATTTGCGGACGCAAACCATTGCCGAAGATCATACGTATTTTATGGCGACGGTCATATTGAGTTGACGACGTCGCTAAAATATAACGTGCCATTTCGCCGATGTATTGTGCCACCTGTTAGCGGCAGTAATACATTAGTAAAAGTGATATACAAGTATGTATATATAGTATATAGTATGACCAGACTTACCGTGCACTTAAAGCGCACGCAGTCCGCAAAATATCCGGAAGCTGAGAATTTTTTCCGTATGGCAACGGTTGAGCCAAAGAGCACCGCTTGTCCTATACTCATTACACCACCAGCCGTGTGGTAGAGCGGCAAGGGTGTGTAATAAATATCTTTTATTTTAAAATTTAGCGTAAAATGTATACCCGCGGCAATAAACATATATCTGTAAATAGAAATTTTTTAGTCGAACCAATGAAGTTTAGATGTCAGATATTTGTATTTATGCTCTAAAAATTTGGTACAGTTGCACCGAAGTTCGGGAAAAAACACCAGAAACCTATTTCTACTTTCATAACCTACCTTGAATGCGAGATAACGGCCGCTTTCGGTAGGCCGGTTGTACCCGAGGTATAAATATACATCAATCTGTCGTGATGATTTGGTGGTTGCACAGCCGAACGTGTGAGTTCCATATGTCTAACCGAGTGCAGTAGTGTAGCCAAATCGGACGCCGACTCACTTATTGGCTTATCGATAGCGTTGTTGAATTGATACAATTTCGCCGGTGTGTCATTCGCTATATACTCAATTGCTTCGCAGAAATCCTCGCCATATATCAACGCCGAACATTTCGCCACGTTGATGCTGTGACGCAGCGACGGACCCTGCAAATTGGTGTTGATCAGCGCTGTGACAACGCCAAGTCGCGAGAGACCCAACCAAATGCCAACGTACTCCGCGCGGTTCTCCAGCAACAAGCCGATAACATCACCTTTCCGATAGCCATGCCTTTGAAATACGATGGCGACGTGCTTGGAAAAGTCATACAGCTGGCGGAAGGTCCAGCGTTGCGTCTCACTAATTATTGCCAACTTGTCAGGATGCTTGAGCGCTTTCTTCTCGAACACATCGCCGATATTTAAGTTTTTGCGCTCACAAAGTTTAATGAGCATAAGCAGTTTTATGTAGGCCCACAAAGCGCTTCAAAGAGTGAGGGAATCGAAATGATATATTATTGCGGATTGTTAATGCTTACGTAGAAAACTTACGTGAAATCACGTCTGCATGTTACGGCGGCTATATAGAACCAGCGCCAGCCCAATGTTACCAGCATGATAACAAACAAGGCGGCGAACATTGCGGGCAGGCCACACATCCAGCCGAAGCTCTGCCACAACAGCGTGTCCACCGTGGCGGTGGTGCCTACGGTGAGTACGATGAGTATTCTACGTTTGTTTCTGGCTAGCGCGCCGCAAGCTGCACCTTGTTGCTGGCCGTGATATGTGAAGGCGTGCCGTTTGTGTCCGCTGTATAGTTGATTGCCTCCGTTCATTTGCCTTATTTGTTCATCACCTTCGATGTCGATGGTGGTGTGATTGGGATAGTTCGATTGTTGTTGCTGCTGCTGTGAAACCGCTTTTTGATGGGCGTGTGTGTCATCAATGAGGTCCGGTGTTGCATGCAACTGTTGACAGTTATGATTGTGGTGACTGCAACGCCAATGATGTTCGCTATCATTTGTCGTTGACTGCGGAGCGGGCGTGTAGGCGGGGCTCTTAAAGTAGCGATAACGGTATTTCTGATACTGTCGTGACAGTAAGTGTCGTCATAATAGTTGATGCGGTGAACGCGTTGGTAAATAGTTGGTGCGAAATATAAAGTTACGCATTAGCATAGTTGGAAGCCGAGAAGGTTTTTGCGTTCACCAGCGTCTTTAAAGAGCGAGCACAAAAATAACAGCTGCACTTTAACACACGAACACGCGAAAAATCGATAATCAACAATTAAAACTTTTTTTAATAATATTCTGGCAAACACAGTTTATTTTTTATAATTTTATCACGTAAATAATTTTTTTTTTAATTTTTCATTTATTTTATATTTTATAACAAATATTTTTTTATATAACAAACAACTTGTTTTTAAAGAACCAACCGAAAGAAGGTGTTTAATTCAGCGAAAAGGACGAATTCGCACAGCTGTCTATAAATACGCACATATCCTGCACCTATACCGTTATGAGTTGTATATGTGTGCGTGAGCTTTAAAGCTTACGAACTTTCATAGCACATTAGAAATGTGCTTATATGCTATGGTACAGGGTGCACCATATTTATAGCAATCAATTTAAAATGTTTAAGAGTCGCCAAATCTCTTTTCAAATTTCAAATAAAAGAAAAATAGATACCAAAGAATTTTTAAAGTACCTTATAGCTAAAGCGCTGTAATTTCAAAATTAAAGATCAAATTCAAAGTTATAGGAAAGTCTTTTTAAATATTTGACCCCTTAGTAGGCAAATACTACTCAGAAATTTATTTCTGTTAGAAAAAGTTTCTCACTGGATCTACGATTCAGCTTAGAGTTGCTTTCCGCACAGTATTATTCTCCATTTGCAGAAGGCTTCAACACTCTATCGGCAGTAGCCAGTAGAACAGACTCCAAAGAGATGAAAGCTCATGTGAAAAACTTTTTCGTGGCTGAAATATGCTCGAGGACTCATCATTTCCTACCTAAGGGCGACTGTTATAAAGCAGAACTTTTATGTTAGTCGAAAGAGTGGTGTAAATAAGATTCTTTGTTTTAATCAGTAGAATGGCCACTCGATAGTTACTTTAAAGACAAATATGAGGAATCTGAACAGATATTTGTAAAAATGATTTTAAATTTATATAAGTACAAATATTATAAAGTTATTTGATAATGACTTGTTAAAGACCAGTTCGTAAGGTTACGCTGATCTTAAAATACAGAGCATTCTTAAAGAAATTTTTCGCCATAGAACTAAAATATTTCTTCAATCTGGAATCCAGACACCATACTGAGTCTATAACTTACACATAAAGTTCTATATACATCATATTTATAATATATATAGTTTGAAATGTTCTAAGTAAGATAATTTATAAGTATATCCTCGATTCTAGGCAGGGTCGCAGAGAGAAAATCGTAGCCCGGTACTGATAGATGTTGAGTTACATAAACTATGAAACGGTGATTCTGTCGTGGAGAACAAAGCTTGAAAACATCTTTCTTTTTCAAAATACGAATTATTAAGATAAGAAGACAGCACATTAATAGTTTAGAGCAACTACTACTACTACTACTATTACATTGGCGTAGGCACCGCTTATGTGATTATAGCCTAAGCATCAATAGCGCTTCATTACTTTCTTCTTCTCGCAGTTTGACGCCAGTTGGATATACAAAGCGAAACCACGTCCCTACCCACCTGATCTTTCCAACGAAGTGGAGGTCTTCTCCTTCCCACCAGCGGTTACTGCAACGAACATCCTCAAAGCCGTAGTGCTTTAGTCCATTCGCAGGTTGTCTTTTTAATCGTTGAACTATATCAATGTCATCGTAAAACTCGTACAGCTCATCGTTTCATCGTCTGCATTATTCATCATCACCATAAATCTTCCGCAAAACCGTTCACCCGAAGACTCTTAGTGCCATCTCATCGGATGTCTATATCGTCCGTGCTTTTGCACTATTTAACAGGACCACAATAATGAACGAAATTGAAGTAAGGCCACATATAGACAAGTTGAGATAATGGTAAGACAGACTAATATTAGTTAAATTGGCTTCAAGCAAAGTTTATAAAGCGCAGGCCTTTAAAGCGATCAAAATCAAAGAGAAGAATATTGCTTACAACAATCCAAGCTGCGATTGGTCCTAAAGTAGGAAGATATGTAAGCCAAATGAAGGGAAGTCAATGTAAGATAACTTCACTTTGTTTCTTAATCTTAGATTAAAAAATTCTCCTAAAATCAAATAAATATATACTCTCTATAACCACTCAAGTATCAGCCGTTGGGAAGAAGATGAGTTATAATCAACTCAACAATTTCTCCTCGAATGTTCCGCTTTTGCGAGATCAAGGCGCAAACACCTTGGATCTCATAATTTCGGACATCCAGTTGAAACAGCGAAAATGGAAATAAAACACGTTAGCAGATTTGTGATAGGTTCAGGGTGTTAGCTGATATACAACTAAAGGAGTTTTTTGGCTGGCTGTGATTCCCCGCCATGCTGAGGGATCAGCTGCTAACCTAACCAAACCACTCATGTTGGAGCTGAGTTTATACTTTGATAATTTTTCTGCTTCTACTACAACAATAAAAGAAGTGATGCAATCTCAATTGGCAATAATGTCAGTTCTCGTTTTTTATAATAATTTTGTAGAATTGATTTTATTTATTTATATAAATAACAATATCGCTTAAATGTATGTACATAAAATAGCTATATATAACGTTTATTACAATAATAACGAAATGATAATGAACTAAAATCAAGTATATATATATATTATGTATTTATATATGTATGTGTGTATGGATACTACTAATTAAACTTTCAAGGCATATTTATAAACTATGCAAATCTTTTTAAAAAGGCATAATAATTATAGTATTTATAATTTATTAATATGCTTTTGATAATTGGTCGATAATGTTTTCAGTTTAAATTAAGTTTAAAGTATATATTGGTATATAGTTCGTATCTATTTATACACTTTGCTAACTAAATATACGTATTACCGTTAGAAGCTCGTTAAAACATGTAGGTATGTGTGTAACCCTGCGAAATATATAGCATAACTACTAGATTTCTTGGGACACAGTTAATTAAGCAAAGAAAAACGACACAAACAAATAATGCAGGAGCGGGACATATATGTAGAAATGCTTTTTAATACAATAAGCGAATAAAGAACGCTAATGCAAATATTATTACAAATTTACAGCGCTTAAAATGGTCACTTTGCTAATTCATCTTTTTGTAGCCAAATTTTTATGTTTAATTTTTTCTTTTACTACCAAAATGATTTTTTTCTACAAAACGCTACTGAAAACACTACAAAACACTTTTGCGCAACACTGTACGCCAACATCTTTGGTGTCCAAAATATAACCACTTTGCATCACATATTCGCCTACACTTTGCTACAAAACACTGCATACAGACTCTTCACAGACTATCGACTAATGTAACAACAGGTGTAAAAATATGTTTTATTGTTGTTTTTGTTTTTATTTAAATTTTTTATTGGTTTTTTTTTTAGTTTTTGTTTTTTAATTTTGCTTTTTATAAATTTACTTTGTTTTCACTGCATTGTTTTTATTTGATATTTTACACTTAGATATTAATTTCGTTTATTATTTAGAATGATATCAATTTTTAACCGTTAATTATTTATAATATTTTCACTATAATTTACACTACACCGGAAAAAAAAACGTTAAAAAAAAGGTTGAAAACGTTTTACTAGAAGAATTTTTCGCTAAATAATTTTCCCTAAATTCATTTTTTAATGCAAGTTTTTATCAATTCTTCGCAGTATCCAGCAGATTTTCTTTCATCACACTTATTTAATTTTAGAATGCGTTTAGTAATTAACACAATTTACCTTATCAAATACATTCAACTGTTTTACGAACAAAAAATTATTGGTTTTTAGCAACCAAGTGCTGTTATACACAAATATCTACAAATAACGGAGCTAGTCGTAGTGGAAAAAAACTAAAGTAAATCTTCAATTTTCGGTTAGCTAAGCTCGTATGCTTTCGTTTAACTAAATTACTTGCAATGTCTTTCCATTTCTACGAGGTATTCATATATACTATACATATATATAGTTTTTATTGTTAATCCTGCAAGTGCTTGACTCAGTGCCAGGCGAAGAGTACGTGTGTGAAGAGAAGATATGCGGTGGATACGATAATGCTGCCGATCATAACCGGAAAACCGACCCTGTGGGAAAGAAGTGGTGTTATTTGCATTAATGCTTGATAAAAGCGGGTGAGAGAGGAAGCAGAGTTGCCAACTTACTTGAAAAATTCGAGAAAAGTGAATTTATAGCCGTGCTGTTCGGCTACGCCCGCGCAAACAACATTCGCCGAAGCGCCAATCAGTGTGCCATTGCCTGTGCGGGGGAAACGTTGGAAAATATTTACATTTATGGATTTTACAATTAAATGTTGAAATGAGGGGAGGGTGAAATGAGACTGCACAAATTATTGGCAGTGAAATTAAATGGTATGCCAAAGGTAAATGAAAAAAATGCGGTGAATTTAGAGAAAATATAAAAAAAGTGTGCGAAAAGCAATTAAAAAAGTGTTATACAGTAAAACACGCTTAAGAACTTCCCACTTAAGTAACGAATCGGCTTAAATAACCAAAATTTTTGAGCTCAGTACTCGCATCGAAAGACTTAAGCAGGCTCGTTTAAGTACCCAACCCGCCTAAGTAACTCACAGAGCTGGGATTTTTCGTGAGGCATTTACGCGTGTTTTACTGTAATTAAAAACAGGCGAGATTAGAGTTATGTATATGATAACGATGAACTCCCTCATAATAAAGAAAAGAGATGAACCAGCTTGCGAATTCAGTAGCAGTCGACATTAATATTTTTTATGGATACATCAGCTTAAGCGATTATAATATTTGTGAATTGAAATTTATGATTATAAAATAATAATTTTGAATATAGATATGTAGCTACTTGTAGATAAGCAAATTTACTCTACCACTTACCGCCTAAACAAGCGCCCAAAGCCAGAGCCCACACTAGTGGTTGCAGCGGTAAATTCAGAGCGGAGTTTTCCGCTAAAGAAATTGTTATTTTCACCATCATCGTTGTTAGTGGAATATTGTCGACAAAAGCAGAGGTTATGGCCGAAACCTAAAATTACAAAAAAAAATATATTAAAAAAATTTAATTTTTTTTTTAGATAAGGCAAAACGCACCCAAAGTATGATTAAAACTGCCACCATTAGACGCGAACCTTCGCTCACGCCCAAAATAATGCTCTCCGTCATCTGGCCAATCCATTCGATCAGACCCAGTTCGGATAGCGCCTCCATAAGAATGAAGAGAGCGGCAAAGAATAGCAATGTGGACCATTCAACACGAGCCAATATCGCCTCCATGTCTTCAATATCAGCCAGTATGAGCAAGAATATGGCGCCCAACAAGGCAGTCCAACCCAAAGAGAGGCGTTGCAATTCGGGCACCGAGTGCAGGAAAAACAAGCTAATGACAAAGATCAAGGCAAATGAGCACTTGATCAGCAGCGACTTATTGCGGATGGGGTACTGTGAAATGGAGTAGAGGCACTTTTGTTAAAAGAATGTCCATAAAAAACTGTTAAAACAATAAATTCACCTTCGCTTGTAGCTGCGTCAGTGTTTGTTTATAATTGGGCGCCGGTTCCACCGCCTCGGAGACGCGTTTCTTCAGACTACGCTTCAAGCGATTCACCTTTTTCATCAACGTTTGACGTACGATTTCCTCATCCTTTGAATATGCTGAGAGACTTTGTGCGGCACGCTTCCAAACGTGGATCTCGTGACGCAGCTCCTCCACCTCGGGTGAGTCTTTAAATTGCAAATCGTTTGTATTGCGGAACTTAAAACGTAATTGTATATAGGTCTGTATCATCACCAGTATCACGCCGGGTAACATGTGCAGCGTGAATATGGCAAAATTGACACCCTGTAATACAGAAAAATAATTAATTTTATAATACTCATTTAAACATAGTCACTTACATTTCGCGAAATGAAATTATTCGAAGCAATTATCACATTTGGTGGATCACCGACGGGTGTCAGCGCGCCACCAATATTTGAATAGATCACCATGCACATCAATATAGGCACAGGATTCAGCGACATAACCTCACAGAGGCGTATAGTGACGGGTGTCATCAGCAACACGGTCGTCACATTATCCAAAAAGGAGGACAGTACCGCCGTGAATAGGCAAAGACAGTTGATGAGCGGCCAAATGTGTCCATTTGTTATCTGTAAACCATGCGGAATATATTTTTAGACTAAATAATGCTTGATCGCCCCAACTATGACACCTACCTTATAAGCATACACAGCCAAATAGTCGAAAATACCCGTCTCGGAGAGTATGGCCACTAGTATCATCATGCCGAAGAGCAGCAATAATGTCTCCACATCAATCCAACCCATTATTGTCGCCATTGAGGGACGTGAGTTCAGAGCCGCCAATATACCAACCGATAACGTTGATGCAATCATTGCCGCAAAGGTACGATTGACAATTTCCCAAATGATCATTATATACAAGCCACACAATACTATCGCCGCATAGATGACACCCTCCTTCTTGTAGATGGGTGACTCGTCGATAGACAACTGCAGTGGAAATTCGGTTTCGATGTTGGCAATAAAACGTAAATTCAAAGTGGTGTAATTGGCTTGATTTAACAGTTCTTCGTCGGCGGGTGAAATGTCATAATTGTTCGCTTTCCACGATTCCTTTGTCGTGTCCAATTGTTCGGGATAGACCAATGATAATTTCCAAACTTGAGAGGCATCTTTTACGTAGAATTCATCACCGCTGGCATTATAGTACTTGCGTTGCAGTTGCACGTGAAGCGTGGGTGGTGCGGCAAAGGAGCTCTTATTTTTGCCGTACAGATCGGCCTCTTGTTGACGGAAGGGACCTTTTAGTTTCAGACCAAGACGCGACAATGTGGCAGTTGTTATGGTAAACACTAAAGGATTGTGGAACAAGTGGAATATATGTAATATGTTCGTATTTAGGGGATATATTTTTAGTGAAATTTGGATAAACTCACGTTTCTCTTCGCCACTTTTAGGAACACTGATCAGTCTAAGCTCTTCAACATGTTCGTTATTCGACATCAGGAATGCAGTAAAGACGGCCCAAACAACCAATAATACCGAAATTTTGAACCACTTCAGGATTTTCTATGCAAAGAAAGATTATAAAGGATTAGGAATTGAGATTATAAGCTGGATTGCGGATTGATCAAGTTTCGGATTTATGAAGCTTATGTTTTTACTTCACTTTACAAGACTGCTCATATAGTTTTGGGATATTACTAAAATATATTTCATAATATTTCGCGGTCCTTAAATTTTCAACTGATTTTTAGTGGGAATTTAGTGGTGTTTGATTTTTACTCAAAGATTTCAAGTAGTGAAATCAATTATTGACATTAACAGTTTATAAAGACCTATATTGCTGTCTCATAATATCTTACAAATTATGACTGAGCTTCAGTTGTCTTCCTGGAAGAAATACTTTTTATCTCCATTAACTTCTCTCATGGCTTTCTGTCCCTGTAAGAAAGTTGTGTATACGTAACTGGAAAGAACATGAGTACAAATTGGGTCCCTAAGTGCGGAAGATGTAGGTTCGAGTCACTTCGGACTATTAAATTTCAATAGTACGAAGGTTAGGGACAGTAAAATCTGTTGCAGATGTTATTTGGGATTCTTCTAGATATTACGTGGTCATTATGTGGGATCACTAAACAGCCGTTACAAGCTTTCTGTTATAAAAGAGCGTACATCTCCACCTATTTTCAATCATATATTCTATAGCTTGGTAATTTTTAAATGACATTCTCCGACCTGAAACACCGTTAGCTATTTCTCAAGTGAAATATGTAGCTTGAACTCGATTTGGGCGCCTTCGGCAATGCCTTAATTGACATTGAGTCTTAATAAATGAAAAGTTGTCTTCAAAAAAGAGAAGACAGACAACTTTATACGGAAATTAAATTGATAATAATATAACGAGACTTCTCATATTATCCTTTGATAAACTTAATATTAAGTCAATATTTACAAACATACATACATACCTTCCTACGCGAATGTGGCTCGTCGTGGTCATCATGATGATCTTCGTTATTGTTCTCCATATCCCTGCGTGCACGAAGACAATGTATTACAAGTGTTAGATAATTGAATTTATTGAATTTACGCGCAATCATCAATGCTCGCTTACCTAACTTCCAGGATGCGGACCTGTCCCAGCTCATTGGTCACATTGATGCCGACTTTGGTAAATGCATTTGGCGCCTTCACATAGTGTTCGCGCACATCCGGCGAGGGCAGCAGATCCAAGTCTGTGTGGCGGCAGCGGAGGAAAAGATTAAGAGAAAGTGGAAGAGGAAATAGAAATATGTATATAAAGAAAATTGAAATTTGATTCGTCGCATTGCTTGGTAAATCAAAAACAACTGAAACACTCAATTTAATTAATTTCCTGTACTTAGATAAATAAGTGGCATCATATTATATTATATATAAAGAATGTGGGAGATAGAAGAGCGTGCAAAAAACTTAAACTTGAAACAAAAAACCGCAAAATCAGAAAAAATGTCCTTTTAGCCACATAGAAGGTGGGTTTGTACATATAATATATAACATATCTATCTTATGTTTATGTAGTTAACAAACAGGATATTATTTTGATTATACGAGTATGTCGTTTGACGTATGTATATTATATATATGTAGAAATAGTTGAGGAAGATGGAAAACCTAAATATTCGATTACTTGTTGTTCTACAATATTAACAGCTGCCATTTGACAACTGTCCATTTTGACGATTTGTTCGCCAAATCACGTCGCAATTCGTTGCCTTCCCTTTTCATTTCGATTTTTTTTTTTTTGGTCCATTTCTGGATTTGTGGGCGGCATTTGATTTAGTTTTGAAACGTGACTCTGCTCGCTTATGTCTCTATTATGGTAGGTTATATAAAAATTGAGAATTTATAGATGTAATTTGTTTGAATAATATTAAAAAGATTCTGAGAAGTGCTGTAAATACCATAGTTGTGTGTTGCTTGGTATAGCTGTCACGCTGACGTCTAAGTGAGATTATGTGATTGTTAACAAAATGTGCGTAATTGTACTTTAATGCGTGAAAATTCTTGTCAATAAATAATGGTTAATGCACCTACATTTATTTGAACCATATTAAGTTTGTACATACGTTTAGCAGAACGAGAAAAAACAATACAGGTCGAAAATTTAATTGGATTATTCTTACAACACAGTCTTAATATTTTATGTACGAGTATAAACGAAGTCCATTTCTGAACTCTGAGGGCTTGACGGTGAAATGTGAATAGGGGCGCACACAAGATGGAGTTCTCTCTCCTCTTCTATGAATCTTGAACGTCAACGACTTGTGGAAAAAACTTGAGGTTCCTGGTCGCAGCTTGATGGCCTATGCAGACGATGTAGTAACCATGCCTGCTACAAGGGAAAATGTGAAGTATTTTTAGTTATTAATATTTTTGGCTTACACCAACCAAGGCACATAGTGCTCTTAAATATAGCCGGTAGGTGTACGGTCCCGAAAATTGCTATCAGACTCAGAGTTCTTCAATGTAGAATAGAACGGGTTGGTGCTCCGCTCTCTTTGTACGTTCTACTTCTGGATAGTTGAGCTCCACGAGATCTTGGTCTGCGTTGGGCTAATATCGGTTCTTGCGCTATCGCTATAGATCTTTTGTTCCTAAGGGCAAGAGATTCAGTGAGAGCTTTTCGGTAAGTAAGGCTAGCCTCTCTCTAGCTGTGGGGGTTCTAAAAGGACATTGCCAGCTATAAAAGCTGTATGGGAGAAGACAAAGTGTAAACATCTCAACACTCCCTCTTATTTATTCCGCCTTTACTAAGTTAAAGCTTAAACACTTAAAAGCTCACATTTTCAAATATTCCACTGAGCTGGTGTGAATAGAAGTTAAACCCTTAAGCCGATTGGTATTAGCCACAAGGCGCTTTGGCGATATAACACAGGAGTTATTTTTTTATGGCTTCATAAAGTCCAAAGTCAATAGTCTTGAGGGTCAGCCCTCGAACTTTATCTAATCTAATATTTCTAAGGCCGAAAAATTATATTAATTATATAATATTGTTCATTATTATGTATTTTTACTTCATTTGATATCCAATTTTTTTCGCTATAGAGGAGATAAACGGAGCTAGTTTTAGGTAATATTACCCAATGTATACTGAATATACCTCTACCTAATTCCTACCGAATTTAATATGTAATTTCACATCTATTTTCTCAATACATACTTGTGTATATATATTTAGCTCCGTATATCAAACTTTACACAATTTAATCGCATGAGATAATCAAATTCACTTGTCGGTGTTTTGCTAATAAAATATTAAGTTGAAGCGAATTATCCACAAATTTCACACACACAAGTATACACACATACATAAATGTGTGTAGAATTGTGCACGAAGAGATTGAAGATAATAATTTCACTTTAAGCCAGTAAAACTGTTGGATATTAACTAATAAATGCAAATTACTAAGAAATAAGGAGACAAGCTTTTAAAGCTATTTTTATACGACAAAAACAGTTTGCAGCTCAAGTAAGTACACACACACGAACACACTTGAAATGTGGAGGTGGACTATTATGTTGGGGAGGCATTCTATGAAAAATAAAAATAGCAATAAAAAATTTATAAATATGTATGCTAGTGAGTCTGCCTCTGCAGAATTTAGCTTCAAACCAAAAATAACTGCATAAATATATACAAAAACAACAAAATCATTGTTCATCCGCATGGTAATTCGTAAATTGACATTGACTTTTGTGTGACCCATAAAACGTCAGGAAAGTCGATATTTACGTATAATATACATACAGATATATATATATATATATATTATATATACGCATATATATATGTATATGCGCATCTAACATTTACATCTCCGTCGAACTAATAAAATAATCATATTAGCAAAATTCTTACAATTACGCGACGAAGCAATAAAAACGGTACTTAACCGTATTTATGGCTTTAAGGGCGAAGGAAAACAGCTGAGTTGAAAATGCCACGTTTCCGGTTGATGAAAAGAGCTGTAGATGATATTTTGGCAAGCGGTAAACAAAATTGAAATTGAAAGGCGGAAACTTGTCAAGAGTCATAAAAAATATTTCCAGCAGTGAAAGCAGAAATATATTGATAAGTGCCGCCTTCTGTTTCCGGAATTAATTTTAAAGGCATGGTTCCTGGGCTCACCATTACCACCTAAGCGGGCACTAGATAACCCCTATAACAACAACATCCTTTTTTTGCAATACACATTATAGTTGGACTTTGCTCTATACCCATGCGGTAAAATTTAAAATTCTTTAACAATCCCTACTCTTAAAATGCTTAGGAAGGTAATGAGTTGGATGGAATCTTCTTTCACTTCACGAACGAAACAACCTAAATGTGATTCCGGCGATAGCAATCACAGCTTACACAACCGAACCTGTCTAAGCTAGCTCAATATACTCTACTTCACGACATTTGTCCTTCTCCTTACTGAGTTTATACATCACATATTTACCGGAAAAAGTTTTTTTTAAATAAAAAAATACAGAATTAAATAGCCATTATTTCTATCCCTGCAAACGCTTCGATTTATTTACTCACCGCCATGTAGACGCTCATGTTCCACGCGGAATGATGCTAAGCTCGGATCTTGGCGTATGCGTTCGGGCAGAGCACGCCATACTTGTAAGGCACCTTCTGTAACCTCGCTGCAAAGAGAAAGGAGAGTGAAACGAACACATTATTTATGGCATTTTATATTTACTGAGTAATGGTGAACTTAAATTATTTTGAGAGTACTGATTCTATTATTACCCATTATTTGGGATTTGTTTTCACTTTCGAAATTAATGCGGCAAACATTTGCGCGTATTCTCATAGGACAATCGCCTATCATTTCTAAATTACTAAAGCCGTATGCTGAAAACTTCAAAAAAAAGAAAAAAATTACAATGGCGCAACAATTAATTTGCACTGAATCTTTTTCCTCCATTCCAGCTCTATTCTTCACTATTTCAATGTTATGACAACTGCTGCGGACATCATCACCCGACCGCCTAACTTGGTTACAGCTGAACCTTGCGGCGCGTGGCATCAAAAGCCAATATTTTTTTGTATATATGTATATATATGTAAATATATAATTGATATTAAATCACCATCATTTGTTTACAGCACGCACACACTAACGCAGCCAAACAAGCCGTGAATGAATTATAAAAAATGATACAAATGAGACAGCCTTCACGTGCTAATAATGTCGCCGCCAACAATGCAGTCTGAGTAAATATAATGTAATATTACTTATTAGCGAGTGATTACTCATTTAGCGCTTAATATGTGCTAAATAATTAATTAATTATTTATTGAACTATTTTTAGCGTTAAACATTGATTTAGTTATAAGCATGAACGTCTGTGACATAAAAGTGTTTGTAATTAATACAACATTACTACTTTTTTTTAATATTATTATTAATTATTTATTATTATAATTTAATTTTGTTAACAATATTTAGTCCCACAATAGTTGTGAAGGGTTATATTTCGAACTGCAACCAAAAAAATTGAATTTATAAGACAGAATTCTTATTTTTTTAAGTGGAGTTGGCTAAAGCGATATACTTCAATATCCAAAGTGAGGTTATGAGTCGTTGTAAGTGGATTTTGCACTTTCCAGATCATCCAGCTAAAACCAAATACTATGACGAGTATACGAGATTTGTTCAAAAGAGAATTTTCGTTTTTTCAAAAAATTATGTATTCATTCGTTTACTTAATGTTGGCGCCTTCAAAATAGTCCACATTCGATATTAACATATGCACTTATGTCAACACTTCTTCAAATCGTCGAAACACTTCCCAAACTCAATTTTTGGGATAGCCTTTATTAGCTATTTCAAACTTTTGTAAAACGACGGCCCTTCAAGATTCTCTTTATTTTTGAAAATAGGAAAAAGTCACACAGAGCCATGTCTGGCGAAGATAGAGGTTGGATCATCGTTACAGTATTGCTTTTGAGCAAAAAACTTACAAACAACCAACGAAGTATGAGCTTTTAACAAACGAAAATCGTCTAGCTCATAAAACCACGTCTAAACTTAGCGGGTGCTACAGACAAAGTAAGTTGAGATACTGCTGAAAATTGTATCGTACTTCAAAGGCATGTATATCAATAAAATAAAAAAAATTGATACTCGGACTCTCCAAAACTCGCGAAATATTAAATTTTAAAGTTCCCTCTATTTTCTAAACACACCTCGTATACACGGAAGTATCCGATGCTTATCGATTTTTACCTTTCTTATATCATTGAGATAGTTCGATAGAATCCACCATATATTTCACGGTCACTATACTAAAGAGAACTAATTAGTTTGATAAGGAAGTATAAGGAGAATTGTGGTTTCCTTCTGTATATAGATAAGTAGTTCTGCATACAATGACCTACCAGTTTTATTAATTTGATCAAAAAACGTATTTAGGCAGGCCAAAAACAACTAAAAATTTGGGTAAAATTCAACTTTTTTTTAAACGCCGCCATTTTGTCAATTTTTGATCTTTTTCTTCGTAGGTCATTCTACGGATTATATCTTCTACAAAGAATACTCTTTGAAATCAATATCGAAAATATGCCCGTAAGCTTTCAAGACAATTGCTACAGCAGTTTTTGCCTTTTTAGGGTTGTTACAGTAGGTGTGCCCTTAATTTCATTTTACTCAAAAAATTCCCTACCGCTATGAACCTTCTTAAAAAGTTACAGAAAGCGCAATTAGATGAAGATACTAATAGGTGGTGAATAAATCGCTCGTACAAGTATTAGGCAGTTAAGATATGAATATGGACTAAAGAACATTTAGACGAGTGATAAAGTCAACAGACAAATGATGTACTTTGTATTACCCCACTATACAAGTAGTGGGAAAGTAGTGCTCAAAAGTATATCGACCATGTAGACCAGTCCACTGAATGAAGAGTTGTTAAATGATAACCCAAGATTACACATGTTTTTAAATCTCTTAATTGTGTTCTTTTACTGTCTCTATTCAGCGGATTTGCACAATTTACCATAAACTCATTATACCAAATTTTCCACTTGAATTTGTTAAGGTACTTTTAGTTTTCCAGTTAAAAGCTAATAATCACTTTTTAGTGTTTCCAAAATTGCAACCATGCATGCAACTATACAATTTCCACTTAACCGAGTCAAATCGTGCAAAACACAATAGATATGTATTAGGGTGGCGCAAAAAAACGAATAATTTTTTTGGTGATTTTTGAAATCTTAAAAATTTCTAATCGATTTTTTAATATTTTTTTTCGAGCTGTCCTTTGGATAAGGCTCTTAAAACATGATAAGCTATCCTATTTTCACCCGAGACTTATAAAAAAAAATTATTCGGGTTTTGTGCGCCACCCTAATATGTATGCATGTTTATGTGATCATCTATAAACCACACATATATTTATATATGTAGACTCAAATAGTTACCCAAACCCAAAACGTTTTAATTTAACTTAATTAGCCTTGTAAACATGAGAAACACCCACACACACACATAGACACACACATCCAAATGCTTTTGTTGATTTAAATACAAATGCATTATGCAAATGCAAAATCTCCATCGGGTGCATCTATACTTTGACGCAAACAATTATATTCGGTGAGTTAAAAATAGCCGCTACTTGCTAGCTATGATTACTTTGTTCATGGAAACGTAAATTAAAATTTCAACCTAACCTAACCCTGTAAACAAGTTTTCCAAAAAATTTTATTTTTAATTGTTATACAGTTTCAGATATCTATGTATGTAATTGACGCGTGTTGCTTGTTTTCATAGCAACTGTATGCACTTTTGTGGAAGGTGAGGAGACTCTACATTTGAAAACAAAAAATTGTGTGCTGTGATTGTTTAAGTAACTAAAATTAGAAAGAACAAGAAAAAGCATTAACTTCGGCTTCACCGACGCTATAATACCCTTCACAGGTGCACTTCTTATAGTATGAAAGTGTATAAAAAGATGTTTATCTTGAAAAATCTGAGGGACTACTTCGCGTATATACAGACAGACGGACAGATGGACATGACTAAATCGACTAAGCTTGTCACGCTGACCATTTATACATACATACCATATATTTTTTTTTATATGTTCTCCTTCACTTCCCTGTGGTTGTTATATAAAATATCGATATTGAATTTAAAGAAAACAGAGAGAGTAAACTGCAGATTATTAAATAAATGTTTTGAATAATGATATCGAGTTACAACTCATTCGAATGACAAAAATATTTATGATATTAAATTAGTTAAGAAATTTTAAACAGAATTTAATATTTAGTTAGAGCTAAGATTTTTTCTAGGTAGAGAGAAGAGAGACTAAGTTACATAGATAATTTGATAATATAAGGCTTTAAATTGTTGGTAAAGTATTCCTAAATGCAACGCTGTGCTTACCAACCCATAGTTCTGCGTAAGGAAAAATACAAATTGAATAAACACTAAAATGAAATGAACAAGACCTTACATTTGATCGAGAGCCCTCATGGAAATCCACTAGGCTTAATAGTTAGTATAAGTACCATATAATGCACAAAGGTGACCGAAAAAAGTCGTTAAGACAGAAAACCATTAAACGATAGGAAAAAAGAAAATGAAATTGACAGGATCTCAATTAAATTAATCGAAATACATTAAGCGCATCTCATGATATAATTAGTCAATTTGTTCTATGAGATCGTTTTTTTCTGAGTGGTCTAAGCGTTGAAGTGAAACCCATCCAGCTAGTTTTTTTTAATAAAAATTTAATCCTCTATAAACTTCAATTAGCTATACTTCTCATAAAGTTTAATTTAAGTGGCTGTTATAGTTGAATCAATTGCTTCATACCCACCCGCTATTCTGTCGGTACCTGAAACAAATAACATGCATAAATGATAATAGCAAAAGCTTTTGCAGAAATTGAAGTTTTTCTGTTGAAAAGCACACACTTCAGCCAAAGCGGGCCTTCAACTAATTTCTCAGGAACCAAATTTGTTGTGGGCGACTTACATCCAGATTGAGGGCGTTTAGCGAAAAGAGAGCATGAAAGCGCAGGCGAATGCTTTCGGTGAAGCTGCATGCTTTTGCTAATTCCTGCGAGTAAATGCGTAGTAATGAAATTTATAGAACACTGCGTAGAGCATAAAGGCACCTGGAGAAGTACCTGAAACAATTAATTGTTTCAAACTAAATGATTTTAGTAGTGAAATACGCAGAAATCGGTGTTTATTATTGACAAGGAGAGAGCTTAATTGAAACGCAATTTCACTGATTTGCTCGTCTGCCCAGCTTAAATTATAAATCCATTTATTTTCGCAGAACGACGCTTCTAGGAAGGCTCTCATAGAAATAAGATTCTCCGAAATTGGTGTTTTCTAAGGAAATATACAGCTTGGCAGCAGCAGCGCAGTATCGCTGATAAACACCCTGCCTCAGCTTCAATTATAAGCACGTTTGCCGAAAGCCACTTTTGAAAATGCTACAATTTCACAACATCCATTTCGGTGGAAATGTGGGCTGGGGTAACAACCAAGGTAAATGTAGTTCCCTCGAATGGCAGATTCGCAAGAAGTTCCGTTGTCTTTAGACATATATATATATTACTAAGCTCAGTACGTCTAAAACATAACAAGTTGACATAATTAGTGTAATGATTATTAAGTA